ACCAAAATGGGGTAGGGGTGGTATCGCCACCCTCAACCTCTTTTACCGAAGACACTTTGATGATAATAATAATAATAAGGTTCTAGGACCTTGCGCGAACAACATGTAAAAATTTGATTCTTTTTAATGTTAAGTGTTTATTTTGTCAACGTATTTTTTGTCTTTCAGGTTAACATTTAACACAATTTAATTAGCTCTCAAAATTTTTAGTATCATACCGTATATATTTTCAATAAACTCCAAATTATACTTTAAGTCTCATAATTGTAGTTATTGGAAATAATCATATTTATTTTATCACAACACATTGTATCGCAAAATGTTAAAACTTCAATTTTCCTGTTTCTAAAACTAGCTATTGGTTTTTGGTGACCGTATTTAGTCCTGTTATTAATAGTTATATACAGCTAATATTTTGCTATTGTTCTTATTCTATAATAAAGTAAAATGTTACGTAAGTTAAATAAGGCATTACATAAATTAATTGCGCAACAAACGTAAGTTACAGTGGTTAAATATTCGCTAGTAGTTTGAAACAATGGAAGGAGAATGTTTACATTTCATAAGTTTTCTCTTAGATTCATGAAATTTGTACCAAATTATATATGTTTATATTATTATCCTTGCAGGATTACAAAAACATTTGGCAGTTTGAATATTAAGATGTCTCAACTGTATTTAGAAAAAATTGTTAAAAAGATTGTTATGACAGGGTTACTAAAATAAATAAGAAAGAGTTGGATTTCGATCGCTTTGGTCCGTTATCGCGATTACCTTGAACATGTACAGCCTGCACAGTTATGCCTAAAATTTGATAATCCGAAAGGAAAGGTCTCATGGGACATTCGGAACATTTCGTTTCTTTAACCATTTTTGGTAGGTAGTTTCGAAGTTGCTTTATTTTTATTCAAATTAGTTGACTATCCTTCAATACTATATAACATTTATATGATTCATATTTCTCTAAATGGCTCCAAACAAAGAAAATAATAAATAATTTGACACTTAATTAAAATCCCATGACAAAATAAACAAACCAATATAGTATCATCATCTTCAGTCGTTAGTCCGAAGACTGGTTGGACACGCACCTCCACTTCTTCCTTTCCTGAACTAATCTTCGCATTTCCCTAAAATTAGGACATTCCACATCCTTAACTATTTGCAAATAGTAATGTAATGTAGGTCTACCTCTACTCCTCTTAAGTCCTGTTTCTGCATCTAATATGTCTCTTACTAGACCTTCATACCTGAAAAGGTATCCTACCAACCTATCTCGCCTATTTTTTATTGACTTCCATTGAGTCCCCTGTTCTCCTATTCTTTCTAATACCTCTTCATTTCTTATATCTTTGTTTAAAAGGAATAACCAAATTATATCAGGGCTTAGGTACCTATTAGGTTTCTTAAGAGAATTTTTTCTTAAGCTCTGTCAGATAAATAAAATATCTACTATAAAAGGAAAATCACAACTTCGAAACTACTAGGGGTCGCTTAACGCGGTTTTTTTCTTAAGGACTTGTCCTACCTTCTGTTTCCTCCAGGTACTACTTTCACAGAAAACCCGTGTAAATAAATTGTTTAATCATAACTTAAAGGGAATCTAAAATAAAATCAGTAAATAATTGTGATATCAAAACTCCCGCCATTTCAACACATGTCACTAAAATTTTAACATTAATTATGTAATTATCAGCACATAAAGCTTCAGATACTCCAAATTTTTAAGTTTCTATTGAAAACTAAATACGAAATATTAAAATTAAATGATTTTTTTATACTGGCTAATATAAAAAATATCTTTGTGAACTTTTCCTGTTGTTTACAATGCTGAATATCGTAACTCAAGCAACTTTTACCACCTCTGATTAAAAAAGGGGTGGTTGAAGGACAAATGAGTATCATGTCTAAATTTTTATGAAAAAGGTAAAAGCAATAGGTATAATCAAAAGACGATACATAATCCTGATGGCTGTATAAAATTATCAAGAGACAAAAATTTAATCAATGTAAGGGTACAAGGTTGATTGTGGTTATGAATCTATGTTTCTATCTAATTAAAATTGAAATCAGAATACAAAAGTAATAATTATCATTATAAGGTTTTCAGCCCAAAAACTAGTTAAACATGCAGTTCCCCTACACATCCTATCTTTAGCCAATTTTAGCAATTTTAAAAAGTAGAGCAACCTATTTCTTTTAACTATTTCCAAACATTAATCTAATTTAAGTCCAGTCTTGCCCGTTTTAACGCCTGTTTCTATTTTTAATATGTTCCCTTAGTAGCCCTTCATGATTGAGAAGGTATCCTACCAATCTAATGTCTCGACTATTTCTTATTAGCTTTTGTAAAGCGCCCTCTGCCCTTCTGCTTTTTCTAATACCTCTTTATTTCTAACCATTTCTATCCTCGTTATTTTCAACATCCTTCTGTAGCACTACATTTTAAAAGCTTGTAACTTTTTCTTTTCCTCAGCGTCCGAACCAACCTCATTTCACAACCATGCAAAGCCGTCCTCTAAACATACATAGGTACTCTTTATATACCAAAATTGTATATTCGACTAATTTTAGTTACGCAAAACAGTTCCAAATATAGGGAAAATTATGAAATTATGTTTTAATAAACGTAAGATTGTATAAACATTGTTATTACTGTTTTCTACATAGATATATACCATTTACTATAGGTACATCCTGTACGTCTTTCATAATACCCAAAAGCATATTTGTATCAATCTACCTTAAATTCAAAACTCCAAAACTTATACCGGTGAACTTTCTTTAGAGATTATTTGCGTAAAGCTGAGTGCATCGTACGTACTCATATAAAGCATTTGAAATGCATGAAACTGTGAGTAGAAGTTCAAACATGTGACCATATCTATGTGTGTATACTATTTTTTCTTGATAACCTAATCGCTCCTTAAATACTGACTGAAATGAGAGCATCTACTTGCAGTGCTGAGTACCTAACACCTACTTTCAAAAATGGGAGTCTCCTTTTAGGAGCCAGTTTAATTTCGCAAAGAATGTAATTGCTCATACGTGTGATATATTCCGTCACCTTTTACAAAGATAAGTCTGATATTGAAGAGGGCCCTATTTTTGACAGTATTAGACACTCAATTGGTGTGAGCAGATACTCTGACATAAGTCGATACTCAATGAATGAGTAGATCCTCGAAAAGAAAAACGAGGAGATAGTCACATATTTGAGATTGTAATACTCACATTTCAAATGGAGTGACTAATAATACTTTTAAAATCAAAAACTGCGTACTCAACGTTATCTATACTACCTAATATGAATCATCATTTAAGTTAAAGATTCGATTGGAACATTACATTAAGTACGACCATCATAATAGGGCTGTCAGTCCTATCTTTCCTATCCTGAGCTAACCTTCGTATTTCCCTAAGACGACTGATCTATCCCTACCTCTCTTAGCCCTTGTTTCTACTTCTAATATACCTCTAACTAGCCCTTCATGTCTAAAAAGATATCTTACCAACCTATCTCGCCTACCTATTCCTTATTCACTCCCATAGCGTCCTCTCTTTTCCTACACTTTCTAATGCCTCCTCATTTCTAATCTTCTCTATCGACAGTATTAAGTACGATATAGGTAAATCTATTATTTATCTGTAGTTTAGATAACATTTCAAGTTTCAAGTTATGAATTTCGATTAAACACGTAAGTAGATGATGCGCAAAAGTTAAATATAAAAATTAAAATATAAAGACAGAACGTCCTAATCTAAGTATTATTGAAATTGACGAATTTTATTTACAGACAAGTTATGTATTTTTAATTTGCTGCCTAGTAACTGCCTATTCTCAAATTTTAAAACTTTAAATATTACCGATTGGCAGGAAGGGATAAATACCTAATGCATTTTTTTCCAAATGTTTATTTCATCATATTCAATTTAAAAACATTAATATGTACATGTTCATATACCTGGTGTATGGTATTAGGTACCAAAATTAAAAAGTATAATGGTAATCGTGTGCAGGATATTATCTTTAAGATAAGATTTAGTAAAGTAAAAAATGTAGATAACAAAACTGATGATGCTTCATTTTCTTTGTATTCATAGGTATGATGATCATTTACCAGTAGATACGGTCCATGTAAATTTGATGCAAATGATCAAGCCTGGGCTAATAATTACTTATTTTACTTGCAAATTATCAGGTCTTCTACTAATAACTGATTATGTTAATAGGAGGTCCTCAAAAATTAACAAATTTTGCTATTAAAATAAAACAAATATACGCTGTTCTAGTACTAAACCTTATTAAGGTATATGATTATCTATACCATACTATTGAATATGTTAGATATTTGTTCAAGGAATTAATTATTTCTTATAAGTACAGATTTAAAAGGACAAAAGGAGGTAAAGCCCTTTGCCTCTATCATTGTAAAATACGAAGTAAAAGTGTAGATGTGGAAATGTTGTGTATGCATTCATTCAAATGTCTTCAGAACTATATCTTTCCCAAGAGGATCCTATCATAATTTTAAATGTTTCTCTTCAACAAGCTTCTTAACTCTTCTTGTGATACATATGCCCTACGAGGCATGTTGGTAAGTAGATGTCTATTATAAATCTTTATAAGGATGCAGATTATCATGTAGATTTTTAATGTATGCTAGTGCAAGCATTTTGCGATAAATGCCTATCAAATTCCTGACTCTTAGGGAACGAGTAAGTATGCATCAGTATTGTTAATAATTTCATCTAAATGGCTTTATTAGGAAAGCCTTATCCTGAGTCAAAGACGATCGATATTGAAATTTTAACTTCAAAATCTCTGGCTTACAATTATTATTCATAAGGCTCTTAATTTTTAAGTACTCATCATGATACCCAATGGAGAGATTCCATTTGCATAATTTGAAGGATCATATAAAACAGGACTCGACTCCTGGTATTACGTATGTCTACATCTATGTTCCCAATGGAAAAGAGTGCATATGTGGACTTACCTGTCGCCGTGTTCGGGGAATGTCCTGTCAACCCCAAGACGTTTGCTGGCGATGCAGCTCCTGTATTAGCAGCACTCATACTTGCCGCAGCTGCAATATTATGGGGCAAAAACGCTGCGGCCACGGCCGCTTGGGCATTGAAGTAGGCCATCCGACTGGCCGCCATGGTCATATGGTGGTGATTGAATGCAGCAGGATCCGAAGGAAAACATGACTGCGGGGGCATATGCCTCTGATGAGGATAAACGTTAGGAGTAATGGCTGAGACGCCAGCCGTCGGAGAACGGTGCTGGGAATCACCGAGCCCTAGGAGCTCTTGGATCGCGAACGGAGACCTTTGGGGCATGGTTTGCGTGGGCTTGCTTAGAATACTTGGAGCAGTTACGTGAATCGTAGTTTCGAGACTTTCATTGTTCATTTTCTACTAAGGGAAAACAGTTCTTTCGTTGCACTTTTATTTTACGTTCGTTTACCGACGGATAGTTCGTTCTGAAGCATCACCTGGACGTGCCAAAGGCTATCTCCATAACTCACATCTTCCAGTCGAGTCGCATCGACAGTATATTGCACATTTCAACTAGAATATGTCATCAACCAGAAAAATGCTACGTATTTGGAAACTAAACACTAATATAGCACCAATTCTTGCTACCCTCTAACTAAACTTCTCTCAGTCATATAAACTAAGATCGCTAAAATCTAAAAGAGTACAATTCCTCACTGGGCACTTATTCAGGATTCCCGAAGTCGTTCTTCCTTCAGACTCGTTCCACCACTTTCAACTTATTTATCTATTGAACAAATGTCACTTGAACTGTTACTCGTTGAGCAGAGATGTGGTGCAGTCACTTTCACTCAGGAAACGTGCAAGGGATGATGCGGCCGGTTATCATCAATCACAGCCGAGCATCAGCAAGGATACTACTGTATGAGTGAACCAGTCCTTTCTGTACGTGAGGACAAACTGACTGTATTAATTTGAAAAAGGAGAGTTGTGCGAGCGCCTGGCAAAGATACTCCCTCATATTTGAGCAAAAGAGCCCTTAAAAATAGGCGGAGCCAGTAACGAACCAATAACAGAAGTGAAAAGAGACTGGTCGTTAGTGAAAGAGAAGAAGCCAGCCGCGCTCTAGTGTGATCCCAGCTTGAGGCCGTAATTCCGTTGCTATGGCAGTGACCGGTAGGCGGCGCTCGTTTGAGTGTCGTGTCGATTAAACAAGCCGTTACGCTGAAGAGATTTAGGACCACGTTCCGAAACGAGCCGTACAATTACTGCCAAATTGTTTACAAGCTTAATTGAAAACGATGTGATCAATTATCATAAATTATTTTCATTAATTGGCCTCTACTAATTAAAGGATAGCAAGCAGCGGGCGCTTTTCAGAATAATTTAAAACGCATTTCGACACATTTTGTTAATATAAATTCGATTAATTACGTATTTCAGCTTTTATTACGGTTTAAATAATTCCCATTTTCATCACGCGTTTTCAATTTTAGTTAAAATTACGTTCCAATAGAGACAAAGGCAATATTAAAACAGTACCTTTATCATGGTAATTTTCTATTTTATGTATCAGCAAATACACTAAATTTTGATTAAATGCCCACGATATACAGATAGGTACCTACGTCCAGAGACAAACGAAAAATCTAATCGTAACAGATACTGTTAGGTAACACAGGCATATATGCATATTATATGCTGTACCTACGCATTTTTTATTAGAGATCTTTATATATTTGCTTTACAATCGTTTGCCAAATTAAACAAAATTCTCAAAATACTGACACTAAGAAAAAATCCCGGTAGGTTTTAATAGTTATATATTTTAATAGGATCGTAAAATGAGAAAAATCAACAGCTTTTTGACAATAGGAATTACTAAAATTTTTAATGGTATGGTTAATTTTGGCATGAAGGTCTAGTCAGAGACATATTAGAGGCAGAAACAGGAGTTAGGAGGGGTAGAGGTAGACCTAGATTAGATTACNAAACCTACACTAGCAAGGAGATCGGGCTGAAACTATAGCTACAAGCTATCCAAGGATGGTACTATAGAATGTCACCTCAAGGTAGGCCTAGTGGCGTCATCTCTTGGTTAGGCCGGAAACTTATCAATCCACCCTCGTATTATTGTATAGAATAGACGAAGTTGCAAGTAAGTACAAGATAGTTTCAATGCAATTTTCCATGCGTTACTATTTGGAGTACCGTTCGGTATTCAAGTTTCAACTTTTGCATTTAAAAATAAGGTTCCTTAGCAATTTCTTCCCATTCAGTAATTTGATAAGACCCGCAGGGGAATAGGTTTGAACCAGAAGAAAACGCCAAGACAGCAAACGAATGAACACTTGGAAACCAAAAAAAAGATTGCTTAACTGTATTAAAGCATTATTTTAAAGAGTACATACCGCATCGAGTTATAGGGGACTAAAAAGTAAAAAAAAATCAAATTTTAATAATAAAAGAAGACGATGAGCAAACTTCCTTTATTGGGGATTGAATTCCTTTATTCATAAGAGATGATTCTTTAAAGATAACCGTCTTTCAATGTCTCTTTTAGGCAATATACCATGCTACTTTATCCTTTCCCTTATTCTACAATTTAACACCAAGTATATACATCCGTGTATTTATTAATCTGCTCCATCAAGTTACATTTTAGGTAAATTATTCATCACTTGCTGTATAAAAAGTTAAGACCAACAGGGTACGTGACAGTAATTATTTAAAGGATTATTTATCGATTGAATGAAAAATATAGATCCAAGTCGAAAATTTTTCGAAAATAGTTTTAGCATCGATTCCATCAAAAACTATTTATTTATTTGTTCTAAGGCAATAAATTTCTATCGTTTTAAGGAATCAATTTAAAAAAGGAATTAATCAGGTATCCATCAATTGATGTGTTTTCTTGTATTGTATTTCTTGTATTGCAACTGATTCTATAATTTTTAAATTGTCATTAGCAACTTGATGGTTTCATAAAAACATATATTATGAAATGCAGTTACCACTGATAATTAAGTTAAGACACATAATATTAAATCCTGCCATATATTATGTTTGATTAAATGAAAAAATGTTTTATAAAGGTAAGAGCTAGGATAATGTCCACATTAATTACATTTTATGAAATTCATTTTCAAGTTTTAGACATAAAATATAATCTTTTTATACTCAAACGGACAGGATGTAGAT